TGGCGGGGAATACAAGCCATACGAAATTCTTCGACTATGCCCCACTTCCGACCAACCTTTTTCACTCCCATATGTATTCCTAAAATTTCTCAGACAGGATTAAGGTGTTAGTAGCGCTTAGAAAACATTAACGCGAAACGAAAGAAAACGGAGAATTTTCCAAGCTTTAATTATGGAAATTCTATTCGAGAACAAATTTTGAAGAAGCTATCTGAATCTTGATCCAAAGACCCCCGCTATCAAATAATTTAGGTTAAGCAAAAATTATCCGAAGTTCTTCATTTCATTATAGGTTTATTAACAAAGCCAAACAAAAACAACAATAAATGCGTGATCAACAAAGGCTCTCGAACAGTCCTCTCTGCAACCGTGCCTTCATCCCAGGCTTCATTGATTCTACGAGCAGATGTGCAGAAGCATTTGGTTTCGAGCTCAACTTGCACTCATGTAGCAGGGGCAATCTTTTTTGCTAGTGTGTAAGCTTCATAGTGAAGTAAATACACAAGTGTTGTACATCAAAATGTACAAGAGATTGAGCGCTTTCAGACTACATCATAACCTTGGAAAAATAATCAGCAAAAAATCAAAAAACCATGAGGTTGAAAAAAACGGCGGATAATTATTGCTCATCCTAACACTTGAGCCATGGCGAGCCCTGCCCTATGACGGCTATTTTTGGATATTACTGAAGCAGGAAACCGTATTTGTAAGCCACACTGCTGCATTGTCAATGAAGTGCTAGTGCTACGGGTAAGTTGTGGAGGAGGCTTCGTTGAGAGTTCTGCAAGGAATGTCAATGTAGCCGGCGAAAAGAGACAGAAATAGTGGACCCTGGCAAAGAAACGATGAATCATTTTCGCGCTATTTTCGGTAATCCTCGATCAGATTATGACGTTCGGGTAATGTGATCTTCCGTTACCTGGCTGATGTGACGCGTGAGTAGGTAATACGCTGTAGTGATACCGAAATAGGTTTCTTTTTTTGGTATCACTGAAGTCGTTATCACTGATCGCCTTACTGCGGGAATAAAGTCAACAAGATTCTGCCTTATTCGGTCTCATCGCTTTGAAATGTACGCGAATGTGAATTCCGCAGGACATACTGAAAGCATTTGGGATTAGCCTCGAACTTGGAAGGAGCCGCCATCTGGGCGAACATTTGTGTGAACACCTGAACCAATGACTTTGAAACTCCTATAGTGAAGCTCTCATAGAGAAGGTTTAAGAGTTTCAGTTTCAGAACAAAGATGTGAGATCTTTGGATTGGTGACATTTCAAGTGTTAAAGCCTCGGAAGACATCGAAAACCTCGCTGCTCATGTTTTTTCTCTGGTCAATGATCAAACCGGCTTCATCCAAAACACGTGGCCATTATCCGACCACCCCTCTATTCTCGAAGATCATGCCCTGGTCTCAGATTCTTCTAGACAATATGCAAGGCATACTGAAACAGCCAGAGACTCAGAGAAGTCTCGTAGGTGGCAGCTCGATATATACCAGCCAGAAGCTTCTAGTCACGGATTAGCTGCCATAAGGTAATTGAGGCATCGTATATATAAACGGGTAGCACGTAGTGAGGCATCATTCATCATTGCTCCTCAGCGGTGTGAGTGTCGCTCTCGAATTTTGCCCTTCTTTCGCTATTTCCTAGGTTCTCTAGGGTGTATACTTCATATTTCAGTTCGCGGTCGTGGTCGTCCAATGCAAGGTCGTTCATCCCCTCGTTCACCCACCAGCCCTCAGCAAACAGCAGCTCGACGGAACAGCCAACAGGTTAGTCTCTTGTGGGGTTCACATAGAAAGCCAAACGAAGGAGTGTCACTCTGTGAGGTTCGAGAGGGTAGCCCTAATTTCCTTAAAGTTCCTATCGAAAAGCTTGTAAATATTGCGGCGTTTAGGGGTGAGCATTGTGCGTTCGGCACGCATCATGTCACATCAGGAATAAGGCACTACGGATCTGCCATCGATGGTAGTTCCTAAATAATAAATTAGCCAAGAGTCAAGGTTTGATGACATTGTTAGCGCGTCGGTGAAACACGCCGCAGCCAAATCGTGTCCTGCCCTGGTAGCTTTTCTCGGGTGAAATTGGGCCACGCTAATTGAATGAATCTCTCAGAATCTAAAGGGTAAAGCACGTGGAATTCAGGATGCTATTCGGCTTATACGCGCGATGGCCAGCCGAAGCTAAGTCGGTGTTACAATGTATCCTCTTAGACGATAGTGGTACATATTAGTCGACGCAAGGAAAGGTAAAAGCTTGCATGGTCTGCACGGCGTGTCATCCAGAACTTGATCTCCGGACCATACGCCTGGTAGTCAACCACCACTTGCTACTACATCACCTCTACCTTCGTTCACATGCGAATGCAATATATGTAGTAGTGGGAAAACCACAGCACAGTCGTATGATTTCCTTCCGAGTTCGGGACCTGACGACATTTGCCTACGGACGGGCCAATAAAAAAAGACATTTTGTCTCGATATTCAGATGGTTTTGATCACACTCTGCTCAATTCCACCCGAATGATTCCCAAGCTTAGAATTGAAGAGCGCACATTTCATTTAAGAAAATCTTTCATAGTGGCCATCTACGTGGACGGCATCAGAAAAGTTTGCCCCGGAAACATGGTGCTCTGGTCGAGCTCAAGTGGGGTTCTCGACTGATCGTGTACCGTTACGACGGGTTCCGAAGGGCGGGTTCCGAGGGGTTTGCATAGTTAGAGCTAATGTCCCTAGGAAACTATCCCACGTTGAATCGATCCAAGAAATTATGTAAGAGCTTCATGAAGCAGTTACTGTAGGCCTCCCTGAGCTCGACGACGGTGACAGATGACGTCATATTCTGAAGACGGTGAGGCAGTCATTTAGGGAATACTTAGCTGAGAAACTTCCGTCATCGAGGGCAATCTCTGCGAAGAAAGAAGGGCCAAAGTGCCACATGCGCCAAATGTCGTTTTTTGTCCCCCCCCCCCTGTATATTTGATGTCGCTGGAATATAGGAGTTTGAAGTCGCCGAAATACAGGAGCAACGGCTCCATTCGAGTGCGAACTTCCTTCTCAGTACCATCATTGTGTGTGACCGTTTTTCTGGGATAGATCAACGTGTCGATGATTTCTAGTGATGTAGCTTCAGTAGATGTTGCGCGCGGGTGAGATATCTCCAAATGTGTTGGTGCTCGTGCGTTGTCCGATCATTTTCGCTGTTAGTAGTAAACTTGTGAATATATTTTGTCCCTAGCACTTACTCTGTAGACAATAATATGCCATAAATCTGAGTCTTCCCCAGTGAGCCCAAGCTCTCCACGTGCTTCCATTCCTGGCGAGAACGTCGGTCCATCTGTATATCCCCCTTAGGGCGCGATGTTAGGGCTTTGCAAATCACGCTATTCGCTAGCGTCCGCGGCCGCGCGTATCTCTCGAGTGGCTGGTACTACAACGCGACCGTGGAAGCTAGCGAGCGGACGAAGTCTGACATCGGCCTCACTTGCTCCTTTGCTCTCATCATAACAACGTCCAGACGGCTGTTGAACAAAATCAAAGGATCGGAGGGGCAGGTAAACACCCAGACTTCGCCTCAAGCCTCCCTGACTCCGGTATTCCAGTGCGAATTTCAATGTACGGCATGCATCTTGCAGCCACCTTTATGTGGCAGTACGAGTTCAGTTACGGATCTCTGCTGTGCGCCTAGCGCGCTTGAACGGTCGCGCTACACCATAACCCTGAGAATTCCTCGTAACTATTCAAGTGTTCGAGGGCAATGCTCAATCTGGGTGCTTTCAGAGCTCAGCACTCCGACGGCCCTCGATGGTCCATCCACAGCACGAGATGCTCGCCCTACAACAACAGCAAGCCCTTCTCGCTGCTGCTCAAGGGTTAGCCTCGTTCTCATTCACTAACCATATGAGGTAAACAGCACTAATCGTCTTATCTTCTTCTCTTGTTCTAAGCATTAATAGCTATTTACTTGGTTAGCATAAGATTTACAAAATTCAGCTTAGTAAAGAAATAATTTCAAAAAACCTCGGACGCCTTTATCCAACTTCTTTTCAGCATGAATCCATTGGCGATTTTTCCTCAAATGGTCAATAACAACAATAAACTTGCCGGAAGTGTACTGGATGGAAAACTCGGTCAGGCGGATTGCAAAGTGAGACTCATGAGTTCATCACCCATCGAGAGTATGAACAATCAAGCGGTTGTTATCGGAAGGACATCGCGTACATTCCAAGTTTATTTACTGCGGAAATCTTGCGCTGCTCGTCTTTCCACTACAAATACCCCTCAAACATTTTCGTGGGAAAACCGCTATTTTTCCCGTGGAAAAATCGCTATTTTTCCCGTCAGGATAATCCAGCTTTACCAATGTTCAAATGTCATGGTTAATTTAGAAATTGCCAGAGCGCACGCTGCTTTCTTTTCCGGATTAACTAAAAATACTCTGGCAACTGATTCGATTTCCTCGTGGTACATCGCTTGTTTGTTTATTTTCACCTGAGAATGTTCTAGGACATTCATTTCCCTGAGGCTTATTTACTTCTAAAACAGCGGTTTCAGGCTCAGAAACTGGAGACCGCTGATTCTCTTGACAACGGTGTCTCTTCTTCTGGATCGGCAGAGGATATTCGAAACAAATGTATGTATACCTTAAAAACCTAGCTCTGGCTTGCACAAACCTTAGTTCTTTTTGCAGGCATGGGTAGTCGAACGTTGTCGAATCTAGTGCTGTCCATGCGGCCACAGACTTCCCGGCCTGGCGAATCGATTCAACCGAGGTAAATATATCGAATCAAACATCTGGTACAGATATCAGTAGAAAAGAGTAAATTTCTCGTATCTTGCAGATACCTGAGATCCATTCGGCGCCAGGAAACTATACTTGATAGAGAGCAGGTCAAGATACGATTTTCGAAGCTGCTCCGACAGCCCTGACTTCTGAAGTTGTCGAGGTGAGGTTTTAACGGGGAACAGCGTTTCATGTGTTCGCGGCTCGGTCGGCAAATGTTCCACAAAAGAGCAGTTTTTGTGGTCATCATGCGACAAGAGGGAATGGTGGTTGTACAAAATAGTAAATCAACATAAATGAATAGAAATTCTGGCAGAATACGTTCTCTCATTTCAGATCTTAGGATCTTTCCCTTGTCCACGTTTAGAAGACTTAAATATCAATGATCTTATTTCAACGAAATCATTTTTCCGTAAATTAGGCAGCTTTCCTTGCGGCAGGCAACTTTCGCGAGTGAAAATAGGTGGTAAAGCGGACCGGAGGCTCATGAGTTGCACTCGCGCACGCTTCGCTGTTGCGAATGTTTTCGTCTCGCTCGTCCCCATACTCCCTTTTCTCTGCAGTCTGTCCGCCTCCCTTTCACTACGCTGCATATAATGGCTTTTCTTTCATCTCAAAAACGGTCCCTTATTTCTGAGGTTTTCGGCTGATTCCTATGGGTGGTAGATTTTGCCCCTCTACGTTCATTTTCGAGCGCATCAAAAACAACCCGGTAGTTATGAAATGAGCCTCCAACTGCCCTGGAGCCAAAACGGAATCATCTCCTCTCAGTTTTCCCAATGACATATAGATGCTACTTATTTTGTGAAGGCGATCAGTACCTATTCCAGCTTTCAAAACCAGCACCTTCCAATAGCGGTTTTCAGTACGTGCGTGAGCAAATCGACGACGACGCGTCTCTGCTGACCGAAGAGCAGCACCAACGGGTGGCCGAAATTCTCCGGAAGGTGAACCTGAGGAAATTCGAGATCGAGTTTTCTATACACAGGTGCGAAAATTCCATTCAGAAAAAGTTGTTGCCTAGATTGAATTATCCATGATCTCAGCGCCACTAAACGGGTCTTTTTGGGAAAAGCTTTTGGAGCGCCATGAAACAAAATGGGGAAGAAAAATACTGAGATGAGATTTCAGCTCACTGTTCTGTATTTCTGCAATACTAATACTATTCCAACTTTTTCGAACCTCTCAAATTTCCTTCTGTTTCAGTCACAAAGCCTGTAGTTGGAGACCCTAATGCTTTGAATATATTTCCCTACTGAAAAACTTAATTCAACTTGAAAAATTTGGATCCCTGTCACGACAGTGAAATCTTATAACTATGCCCTTTGTCGGAGAAGAAACTAGCATTAGGCAGAACGCGATTATCATCTCGTGTTAGGCTTGGGAACTTTTTGACCAATATCCTTACTGGTATTTCAAAGTAGATGTCTACCTATTATAAGCACGATCCTGACAACTGAGCAAAATTTTGGTTCTAACAATTTAAATGGTAAAGCGGAGGAGGAAGGATATTAATCATTTCATCTTCACATATCCGCAGGGTTTCAAGAGTTTAGGATTTTTTGAGCGTAGGGACTCTTTGTGCATGAATTTGTTATATTTACTATTCCAAAATTTCCATAGTATTACTACAAAAACCAAAGACCAATGATAGTCCATGGCATGTATAGTTCCAACATATTTTGCCGGCCGTAAAGCATGGTTCAGTGTTGGCAGGCTGGACATGACGGTTTTGCCGCTGGAGCGAGCATCGTTGGTACTGGAAGCTGTGCCGTCGGCAGCAGACGTTGAAAGAATCCGCCGATTCACTGCCGCTCATCCAAATTCACAATGGACCGAAGCCGAGCAGTTCGTGATTGATGTGAGTTCTTTTCCACCATCTGAATTCGAACAGCAAAGGCTGTATAAGTACTTCCAGGAGATTAATTTAGCCTGTGAAATTGACAGTTATTCTGGCTTCTTTTTCCCCAGAAGGGCCCGCTAGTGGGACAAATGTGACCAACGTGTTTCTTGAAACTCTTCTCGTTCAAATATAATCCCTCGACAATCGGAATGAGGATATGTCGGATGAATTCGTTCCCGGCTTGTCCTCTGCTCAAAGAAAGCAAGTAACTCCATGAAATTACTTGTACCTCTTCGAAAATGGAACAGTTTTCCGATGTCTCCACGAAGTAGAGCAACACATGGGCTCTCATGGAAGATTCCATGGACATTCTGCTAGAGTGAAGTTCTTTGGAGATTTTTGAAAAGTTCCAGAATTAAAATAATCTGATGCTAGCCTGTTCGAAGGTATGATTAGCTAATGGAGGCATTTCCTCCATAGTGGAATTCCCTAGACGGTTTATATGTGCGGATTATGTACCCATTCCGTGATACACAAGAAGGGCGCTAGAGGCTTATTCACCCACTTGGCTGCACCCGCTGCAGTGGACCCCTTGAAATCGACACATGGGAGTGTCTTTGTCTCGCCTAGCCTTCGCGATCTCTTATCTGCTTCTCGTTTGTTCCCTTATTCCGATACTTGGTGTTTCTTCGCTATGAGGTCGTGCACTTATCGTGTATAATCTTAAGAAAGCTTCATCTAATGCGCTTGCGGCGTTTTTTGTTCTCTCTCTTGAGTGGCTTCAGGCAACTACATTTCAGGTCATTGTGGAGTCCTTAAGTGAGATGCTGCAACCTCAGAGAGTCCCTTCAAAAGTTTGCCTTTGCATGAAAGTCATCTACTTTCAAAGACACATCTACTTACACCTCAGTCTTGTTGGAGAAATCCCTCCCGGTTACAGTTTTTGGTTCGCAGCTGCAAATACCGTACACTTTTACGCCTTAAAAGACTTCAATGAGACTTTGGTGGGAGATGTAAACCATTGGACTGGTCCTCGACTGGTTCCGATAGCCAGTCTCAGCAAAGCCCCATGAACTCTAAAGCAACTCTGAATCAGAATCGAATGCGCGGCGCAGCTAAAGTTCTTCCGACTATCATCTTATTTTGTTGTGTCTACTATCAACGAAGGAGCTTTCACTTTTAAGTCGAAAATTCAAATTTTTCAAAAAAAATCTCTGACAGCCTCTGCACTTCAAATGACCACTTCGAGTTCCTTCAATTCCCTTTACACTTTCAGCTGGCCGGCATCGAAAGGGCTGAGGAGAAGTTGGAGGTGATGGTGCATACGGCAACGTTCGACGAGACTCTCAACACCATTAGCGAGGTATTTCATATTAAGTGTACAGCTTTTGATGTTAAATCTCTCCTATTCTCGTTTAGCAATTGGACTCGTATGCGACATCCGCCAAACTCATCCAGGAATCTGAGCAGTTGCGAATGATTCTTCAGGCAGTTCTGGCACTTTTAAATCATCTGAACGGCAGTTCCCTCGAGGAGAAGGTTGTCGGTGGTTTTTGCACCAGCCAACTAGCAGAGGTTAGCAGCTAAACATGAACGGTTTCGGGTCAAGAAAAGTCTAGCATATCAACCTATTCCAGGTGTGTTCGGCTCAGCTTCCCGATGGCTCATCTCTCCTTCAAACACTGACCGCGTTCATCAGGGATCGAGCACCATACGCTTCAGATGCTGCCGACCTTGTCGAACCGCTCAGTTCGACTGCTAAAGGTACAATTCTTGAGAGATTCTCATAGGCAGCGATCACGATGGTAGAAGCCGGTGCGGTTCTGGTGACATCAATGGTATTCATTGGTGGACTACACCCCTCAGTGCGCTGGGGGTGCGGCTAGGACCGCCTCTTAAGCCCCTCCACCAACAACGTCAGCAAAGCCACATTTCCCTTTACTCGTCGTCACTGCTTTCAGAGGCGCGGGTTACGATCGAATTGATGAAGTATTTTGTTTGAAAATTAGTCAAGAAATGAGAACAGGAACGTAAGTAGGGGAAAGGCAGAAAGCATCATTAAAGCTCTGAAACTTCCCGTGTGGTGTTGATTGCGGTTCGACGGAAAGACACAGAGCTGCGGGTAGAGAGAAAACGCGCGAGAGCATGTTGTGCGCGAAAGTGCGCAAACGCCACGTTGCTGCGATTGATAAGGACTGCAGCGGTCGCAGCGGCTGAGCCATGACATTGCTCCCTTGCCGCGCGATTTAAAGTCGCAACGCCATCTCTGCAAATAGCAATCCTACTAGCTCACATGAAGAGAGAAGGATCTAATCGCGACCAGTGCCGTAAAGGACTCTGTTATGTTTACGTGCTCCTCTTTACATCGTCCTAAATCCTTGGTTTAAAATTCTTCTTGGAATCTACCCAGTACCTGTGGGTATGTGGTTATTCTAGGTGCAGCCTCGAAAAGCGCTGCTCATATTTCTGGGTTGCCCTGAAGCGCCAGCGCGGTTCCCGTAGCGCCCTGTTCCACCTTGACCCCTTCCCAATCCTGTCCTGCGTTGGAATTGCTGTATACCTTCAGAAACTTTCGTCCCTCGAAAACTTGCGACTATTATCAAAGTTGTCTGTTACTGCAGAAGCTCCGATTTTACACCGGGTCACCGACGCAAGTCTTTGTGTGTTCCATGCACACATTCAAAATTCGTTGTATTTCTGACTGGCATTTGGAATGCGTGGCGCGTCCTTAAAAAGTAATCTGCGTTTAGGAATTCTTCCCTTTATCTTTGCTTTTTTCCAAATATTCTATTGAAGTGAGACACTGGTTAAGGTGATTGTGATGTCCCAAGCGACGTTTCGTACGCGCTTGCCTTTAGCTTTCTTAACTCTCTGAAAAGTTCTCTCTAAATGGGCCAACTGTCTAACGAATTATTCCAGTACCGTTTCTATCCATCTACGAAGCGCTGCTGCGGCTGGACGAGGGAAACCAGCGGGTTCAGATGGAGTTGGAGCAGCTTGACTTTGAGCACCCGGTGTTGGCCGTTAGACTCAGCGAGATGCGCCGCCGTTTAGACGAAATGGCTGAAAAGCTAATTCGTGTGAAGGTGAGCTGATCGAAGATCGACTATCGACAGTTCTTGTCGCAATAACCCTCTCTTTCCAGGACCAAGTGCTTGTGATGCTGTCGTATATGGGCGAAGCACTGCCCCGTACAGAATCCGAGTTCCGCCCTGAACTCTATTTGTCGAAATTGTGCGATTTCCTCATCTCGTTACGTCTTCAGAACGAGTTGGACGTCGAGGTAGAGAACTGAGTGAGCTGTGCGGCTGAGTGCCAGCCATGTACGTCTCGATCCTCGTTGGTCTCGACTTACTCCCCATACCTCCTCTTTCATGAGACGATTCCTCGTCCCATGTCTCTTTCCCCGTTTAGCCGCCTTTTCGTGCCAGCACTTCATTTAATCTTTCCGTTATGTTTGAATGCCTCAGAGGGTCGTTTTTCACTCTCTTTGCTACGAGATTTAATAAGTCAGTGCTAGTTGTCTTCCGCGTTTCCTTTCGCCACCGGTCAAAGCCTTACTTGGTAGAGTCTAACCTTTATGATTTGGCAGCTCACCTCAGTACACCAACACTCTTTGACTTCTAGCTCTCTGCACGTAGATGATGTCATGATATGAGATTATTTCCCTTCCCGCTTTTCCCTGTTTTCCCAAATACCCCCTTAGCCTCGTCTATCATATGTTTTAAGTGAGTTGCTCGTTTCTTCTAATGTATTGCTGGTCATTTAGTGTACAATCATCACCTCAATTCGAACCCATTTCCACCGGGTTTTGGGATTTTTACCCTACCGGTGGTGTAAGGTTCGCATTGAGACGTGAGTTGGGTAGAGATACAGGCTTAGTTTATCTTCCGGTTATCGTCTTCGGTATATTTTACTTGAGTTTGTCTTACTATATTTTCTGAACATATCTTTCCATATTGGAGATTTTAGTTCTTAGACTGATTATGCGCATTTTTTGAAGTGAGGATTAATAAATGTTTTTAACAAACCGATGCAATCGAGCCTGAGAAAAAAGTAAAAAGAAAAGAAAAGAAAAGTTCAGGTCATCGCCAGTGGACGAAAAAAGAGGAAAACTGAAAGTAAGGGTCTCCAGTTGTAATTGCTTCTGTTCAAGCTTCCGAGATTGATATACGATTTATCCGGCTAACGTTTCGGCGCACTCGCCTTCTTCGGAGCCTGCAAATCGAAGCATCTTTTTGAAACAATTCGTCCAAGCAACATTTCAGATTACAAGAAAGAAAAACTAAGGGAGAATAAGCCATGAACGATGTCGTAACCCGCTAACCTTTGTAAAAGCCGAGCGTTAGAAGGCACCCTTTGCTGAAGACCGTGCAGTGAGGCTTTTATATGTGCTTCGCACCTTTGAGGTCGGGTCAATATGGCTGCAAAGGGAACCCCCCAATTAACAGACCCCGCATCAGGAATTTTTGAATTTTTGGACGTGAATTTAAGCACCATAGAATTACAATTTTTTGCGAAGCCCCCCAGGGGCCGTATGCTGAATGTTGGGTAGGGGACGGGGATGGGTGAACGTTGGGGAGGTTCGTCGCAGGACCCTTCTGGGCAGCTGTCGCACCTTCAATATTGCAGCTCTGTTTGTATTCTTTCATCGCTGCTTTTGGTATGAAGAAAGATATTTACGTGCGAATATACAATCAGAAACAGTAAAAGGGTGAAAACAAAGCTGCAAAATCAAAGGTGCGACAGCTGCCCAGAAGGGTCCTGCGACGAACCTCCCCAACGTTCACCCATCCCCGTCCCCTACCCAACATTCAGCATACGGCCCCAGGATTTGATGACGTAGTCAACACCCTTAGAGACCGCCGAAATGATGGTACCTGCTGATCGCCGCGCATCTCACCAGTCCATCGATTTTTGTAATGAAGCCTGGAACCCCCGCCTCGGCGCCCCGCGGGGGTATCGACCGCGTAGATCAAAACCCACAGAGGTCCGCAAAGGGTGCGAGCTCTCTAGTAATCGCAACGCACTCGTCCTTCCTGTTGATCTTTGGATCCTTTGCTGCAATCCACAGGGCTTCAAGGGTTCTGCGGGCAGATATTTCTCCTGTTCGCATGCCAAGCGATGTAACCATCACCACATGTTGCTATCACCTATGTACTGAATTTGTCGCGCACTAGAGGCGCGGTGATGAAATTCTCGGTCTTCTTGAGCCCATCTAGATGTTCTTTGATCCTTATGCAGCAGAGGGGTCTGCCATGTTTCCTCCTACATACTCTTCTCCACATAGTTGACACGTTATCAGGTAAACGACCCCTGACATCATGCAATCGTCTTCTTTTCCGAAATGACAAATGGCGCAGGACGGGGTTAGACAGAGTCGGTCATGAAGGCGATTCCGGACCAACTGAGGTTCGGTTGAGGAATCTCAACCACTCTTACAATAGCCGCTTACTCTTACAATAGCTACAATAGCCTGGAGATCCGCTTTTGGAGACAGGCCCGAATCGCAGCACTAGCCTCATCAGTGATGAAAGGAACGCAGAATGGTATCTTCGCCTGCTCTTCTTGGTGTCCGATTTCTCTGTTAGCTCGTCGTCCATGCCGAGTCGACTGCCCATATTGGTGTAACCATTTTTCTTGCGCAATACGCCACAATACTGGACCAATATTATTGACTCGGATCGGTATACGCCTTCCGATGGAAACTGCTGAGGCAGTCCGGAACATGTTTCGAACAACGACCTTTTTGGTGTTTGAAGGGTGAGCCGAGCTGCAATGGACGATGATATTTTTGTTGCTAGGTTTTCGATACCACCTAGTCCTATGGATGCCTTGTGAGAAGTGTATCTGGACGTTTAGGAAGGCTAGCCGATTCCCGTCGGCTCTTTCCTCCCGTGTGAACCTTCATATATGTTCCGGACTGTCGATTAAGAAGTTCCGTCGACAATGTGTCCGCTGCAAAGACGGTTCGAGATTTGGAGCACAACCGACGGCCGGACTAGGACGGGTCCAGAACAGAACACACAGAAATTATCAACCCTCTAGCGATGCACCACAGATGCAGAACTGGTGGGCGTGGCACGCAAATCAACTCCGCGTACGAAGCCAAAAATATTTGCCACCCTATAATGCGAAACGTGACACTAACATGGGAACGGGCTGCACCGCGGTGAAGACCGTCACAACCACACCCAGATTCCTCTAATGATCAGGTAGAAACGCCCATCACGATGGCAAGAGGAACCGACACACGTCACTTCATACCATCACATAGTTAAAAATTACTAATTTATTACGCAAATTCATAAAAATTAATACGGGTCTATGTAGTTTCAGGGCGGAAGTGGTGTAGTGACAAGTGGCGCGCTCACCACGCGAGCGGTCCGGGATCAAATCCTGGGTCGTGAGTCGCCCGGGCCAACCAAGCCTTCCATCCCTCCGGGGTCGGTTAATTGGTACCAGACTTGTCTGGGAGGATAAAAACACTGACTTGTACATCGGCTGGCCCCCGCAAGTCATTGTATAGGCCACATCGCATTCAAAAGCCACTGCGAATGTACAAATGGAAGTAGAATGCGTGCCGCATCCCAAAAAGGGATTGATCAACGGCAAATGCTTTATCCTTTATCCTTTATGTAGTCTTCCATTCCCCTTTTGCACCGCAAATCCTTAAATGGACCACTCATCCAGGTGCTTTCTAAATAGTGAAGGAATTCCTGACACTTTATATAATCAAGTGTTGCTGGGGTGGAAAATGTGTGAGGGGCCAAATAAAACGATAAGAGGTTTGAAACCCCAGAGAAACTGGAACGCACTAGAAGACATTACGACACAACAAAGGTTGGTAAGGCTCACTGTTGTATGTATGTTGCATCTATGCTAGCTTAAATACCTTCCATAACCTTCCCTCAAAGTGTTTCTTTTTACCAGGGACCCTGCGAAGTGGTATGGGGGGGGGGTAGCCTAAGCCCCTGAAAAGTCATAGAGGAAGCACATCTATAACTGACTTGCTTGAGGGAGGACAGTACCGCTTGGCTAGAGACGTGAGGTTTTCATCGAAAGTAAACGGGTCTCCTTGACTCCCCCCACTCTTCTTGCTTAGTTTCTTACAATCAGTAAAGTGTTCAGGAGTTTTGTAGTTTCTAATACCTTGCTTCAGCTTTCAGTTACAACTAGTTAGTGGTAGTTGGTTGGTGATAACGAGTCATTTTAGATTTTTTTTTGTATATTTTAGATTGGCATTATTTTCCCTTTTGAATACATATTCTTTATTCATGTTGTTTTGTTGTATGGTTTTCCAATTTGACTGCCATTTCTACGTGTCTAGTACACATGTTTGGGTGGTGTTGTGACCCCTAGGCCGTCTCCCTTAATGAGGTCACTTCGCAGTTATCCGCGGAGTATTCTTAATTAGGTGTGAATCGTACCCATTTCTTCTATACTGACCCCAGACTGGTGAGATGCGCGGCGATCAGCGGGCACCACCACTTTGGCGGTCTCTAAGGGTATTGATCTACGTGATCAATCCTGGGGGGGCATCAACCCCATGGTCCCCGAGGGGTTGGTCCGCCTCTCCTGCGGGGTGCGCAGGAGAGGTGTTGTGGACCCGATGGAAAGTCCTCGGACCGAAAGGTTCGAGGCGTCAGGAGTTGCTAGGCAGAGCCCACCGATGCGGATCGCAATAGGCTCAAGCCCCGTTTGCGACACCTAGCATGACCCTCCCTCTGGATGTTCAGCAGAGAGAGCGTTAGCGTTGAAGAGGCAGCACCGATGAGAGTCGCATCATTGTGGAAATCAATAGGCAAGGGGTCCCATTTCCGAGGTTCTGGGCCGTTTCCCATGGCTTTTTCCTTCATCCTGCACTACTAACCACTTCTGTTCTTATTTCTAATAGGCTGCCTTTTCATCGTGAAACCCCCCTTCAGGGGACCGAATCTTTAAGCTTTTTGGCTTATACATCATCAAGGAAACATAAGTGTCAACTGAAAGTGTGGGCACCTTACTAATGAGCCAAATCGTGTGCTTCTTATGCCGAATAGAGCATAAGAAACACACGATCATATCAGCTTACCCACTGAGGCAAGGTCGATGCCTTGAAGCTGGTGGCTGATAGCCGCCGAGAGTATTCCGAAAATTATCCATTTCGGAAGCTAATTAGGCCTGTACTGTGTCCCCGTTTTAGCTGTGTACAGTAGCGGTCACCGAAACACGTTTTCATGATTTTCTTTTTTTTTCTTGAATAGACTTGAAGATCTGTTAAAGGTTTTTCTCTCAAATGTTTCAATTCTTGTG